GATACTTCATAGGTGACACTTCATAGGTGATACTTCATAGGTGACACTTCATAGGTGACACTTCATAGGTGACACTTCATAGGTGATACTTCATAGGTGATACTTCATAGGTGACACTTCATAGGTGACACTTCATAGGTGATACTTCATAGGTGATACTTCATAGGTGACACTTCATAGGTGACACTTCATAGGTGATACTTCATAGGTGACACTTCATAGGTGACACTTCATAGGTGACACTTCATAGGTGACACTTCATAGGTGACACTTCATAGGTGACCTTCATAGGTGACACTCATAGGTGACACTTCATAGGTGACACTTCATAGGTGACACTTCATAGGTGACACTTCATAGGTGACACTTCATAGGTGATACCACAGGTGATACTTCATAGGTGATACTTCATAGGTGACACTTCATAGGTGATACTTCATAGGTGACACTTCATAGGTGATACTTCATAGGTGACACTTCATAGGTGATACTTCATAGGTGACACTTCATAGGTGATACTTCATAGGTGATACTTCATAGGTGACACTTCATAGTTGACACTTCATAGGTGATACTTCATAGGTGATACTTCATAGGTGACACTTCATAGGTGACACTTCATAGGTGATACTTCATAGGTGATACTTCATAGGTGACACTTCATAGGTGACACTTCATAGGTGATACTTCATAGGTGATACTTCATAGGTGACACTTCATAGGTGACACTTCATAGGTGATACATCATAGGTGATACTTCATAGGTGACACTTCATAGGTGACACTTCATAGGTGACACTTCATAGGTGACACTTCATAGGTGATACTCATAGGTGACACGTCATAGGTGACACGTCATAGGTGACACTTCATAGGTGACACTTCATAGGTGACACTTCATAGGTGACACTTCATAGGTTATACTTCATAGGTGACACTTCATAGGTGATACTCATAGGTGACACGTCATAGGTGACACGTCATAGGTGACACTTCATAGGTGACACTTCATAGGTGACACTTCATAGGTTATACTTCATAGGTGACACTTCATAGGTGACACTTCATAGGTTATACTTCATAGGTGACACTTCATAGGTGATACTTCATAGGTGACACTTCATAGGTGACACTTCATAGGTGATACTCATAGGTGACACTTCATAGGTGACACTTCATAGGTGACACTTCATAGGTGACACTTCATAGGTGACACTTCATAGGTGATACTTCATAGGTGATACTTCATAGGTGACACTTCATAGGTGACACTTCATAGGTGACACTTCATAGGTGACACGTCATAGGTGACACTTCATAGGTGACACTTCATAGGTGACACTTCATAGGTTATACTTCATAGGTGACACTTCATAGGTGACACTTCATAGGTTATACTTCATAGGTGACACTTCATAGGTGATACTCATAGGTGACACTTCATAGGTGACACGTCATAGGTGACACTTTATAGGTGACACTTCATAGGTGACACTTCATAGGTGACACTTCATAGGTGACACTTCATAGGTGACACTTCATAGGTGACACTTCATAGGTGACACTTCATAGGTGACACTTCATAGGTGACACTTCATAGGTGACACTTCATAGGTGATACTTCATAGGTGATACTTCATAGGTGACACTTCATAGGTGATACTTCATAGGTGACACTTCATAGGTGACACTTCATAGGTGACACTTCATAGGTGATACTTCATAGGTGATACTTCATAGGTGACACTTCATAGGTGATACTTCATAGGTGATACTTCATAGGTGATACTTCATAGGTGACACTTCATAGGTGACACTTCATAGGTGATACTTCATAGGTGACACTTCATAGGTGACACTTCATAGGTGACACTTCATAGGTGATACTTCATAGGTGATACTTCATAGGTGACACTTCATAGGTGACACTTCATAGGTGATACTTCATAGGTGACACTTCATAGGTGACACTTCATAGGTGACACTTCATAGGTGACACTTCATAGGTGATACTTCATAGGTGACACTTCATAGGTGACACTCATAGGTGACACTTCATAGGTGACACTTCATAGGTGACACTTCATAGGTGACACTTCATAGGTTATACTTCATAGGTGACACTTCATAGGTGATACTCATAGGTGACACGTCATAGGTGACACGTCATAGGTGACACTTCATAGGTGACACTTCATAGGTGACACTTCATAGGTTATACTTCATAGGTGACACTTCATAGGTGACACTTCATAGGTTATACTTCATAGGTGACACTTCATAGGTGATACTTCATAGGTGACACTTCATAGGTGACACGTCATAGGTGACACTTCATAGGTGACACTTCATAGGTGATACTTCATAGGTGATACTTCATAGGTGACACTTCATAGGTGACACTTCATAGGTGATACTTCATAGGTGATACTTCATAGGTGACACTTCATAGGTGACACTTCATAGGTGATACATCATAGGTGATACTTCATAGGTGACACTTCATAGGTGACACTTCATAGGTGACACTTCATAGGTGATACTCATAGGTGACACGTCATAGGTGACACGTCATAGGTGACACTTCATAGGTGACACTTCATAGGTTACACTTCATAGGTGACACTTCATAGGTGACACTTCATAGGTTATACTTCATAGGTGACACTTCATAGGTGATACTCATAGGTGACACGTCATAGGTGACACGTCATAGGTGACACTTCATAGGTGACACTTCATAGGTGACACTTCATAGGTGACACTTCATAGGTTATACTTCATAGGTGACACTTCATAGGTGACACTTCATAGGTTATACTTCATAGGTGACACTTCATAGGTGATACTCATAGGTGACACTTCATAGGTGACACGTCATAGGTGACACTTTATAGGTGACACTTCATAGGTGACACTTCATAGGTTATACTTCATAGGTGACACTTCATAGGTGACACTTCATAGTTGATACTTCATAGGTGATACTTCATAGGTGACACTTCATAGGTGACACTTCATAGGTGATACTTCATAGGTGACACTTCATAGGTGACACTTCATAGGTGACACTCATAGGTGACGCTTCATAGGTGACACTTCATAGGTGACACTTCATAGGTGACACTTCATAGGTGATACCACAGGTGATACCACAGGTGATACTTCATAGGTGATACTTCATAGGTGACACTTCATAGGTGATACTTCATAGGTGACACTTCATAGGTGATACTTCATAGGTGACACTTCATAGGTGATACTTCATAGGTGATACTTCATAGGTGATACTTCATAGGTGACACTTCATAGGTGACACTTCATAGGTGATACTTCATAGGTGACACTTCATAGGTGACACTTCATAGGTGACACTCATAGGTGACGCTTCATAGGTGATACTCATAGGTGACACTTCATAGGTGACACTTCATAGGTGACACTTCATAGGTGACACTTCATAGGTGACACTTCATAGGTGACGCTTCATAGGTGACACTTCATAGGTGACACTTCATAGGTGACACTTCATAGGTGACGCTTCATAGGTGATACTCATAGGTGACACTTCATAGGTGACGCTTCATAGGTGACACTTCATAGGTGACACTTCATAGGTGACACTTCATAGGTGACACTTCATAGGTGATACTTCAATGTGTGATGTCCACTTCCGCGGGTTCCGTTCCCAGTGAACCACAGAGAGTCACTTGAAGAAGCAGGCAGCTCAGAGGCAGCTCTGTGATGTCCACTTCCGCGGGTTCCGTTCCCAGTGAACCACAGAGAGTCACTTGAAGAAGCAGGCAGCTCAGAGGCAGCTCTGTGTTGTTCATGGCCACCGCGAGGAGGGAGCTTTCGCAACGAGAGTCTAGCCACCACCACCACCACAACAACAATCTGCTTTTAACGTTTAGTTTTTTTGTCCTTCCCCCGCACTTCCAATTCGCACGGTTGGCTACGTTACGGTTGTGCGAAAGAAGTTCAGCGTGCATATAGACGTACCCCTCCGCCCAGGAGTGGGTCACCTTAGCTGATTTTGTTTCAAGCGGGTGAAAACGCAAGAGGCCACGATAAAATCTTATCGGTCCCCGTGTAATTCTCTGGGTATGGGTCTCTGTGTGAGTCTGCGGGTATCTGTGTGAGTCTACGGGTCTCTGTGTGAGTCTATGGGTCTCTGTGTGAGTCTACGGGCATCTGTGTGAGTCTACGGGTATCTGTGTGAGTCTACGTGTCTCTGTTTGAGTCTACGGGTCTCTGTGTGAGTCTACGGTTCTCTGTATGAATCTACGGGTATCTGTGTAAAGTCTATGGCTCTCTGTGAGTCTTTGGGTCTCCGTGTGAGTCTATGGGTCTCTGTGTGAGTCTACGGGCATCTGTGTGAGTCTACGGGTCTCTGTGTGAGTCTACGGGTCTCTGTGTGAGTCTACGGGTATCTGTGTGAGTCTACGGGTCTCTGTGTGAGTCTACGGGTCTCTGTGTGAGTCTACGGGTCTCAGTGTGAGTCTACGGGTCTCTGTGTGAGTCTATGGGTCTATGTGTGAGTCTACGGGTCTCTGTGTGAGTCTACGGGTCTCTGTGTGAGTCTACGGGTATCTGTGTGAGTCTACGGGTGTCTGTGAGTCTATGGGTATATGTGTGAGTCTACGGGTATCTGTGTAAAGTCTATGGGTCTCTGTGAGTCTATGGGTCTCCGTGTGAGTCTACAGGTCTCTGTGTAAGTCTACGGGTGTCTGTGTGAGTCTACGGGTGTCTGTGTGAGTCTACGGGTATTTGTGTGAGTCTATGGGTCTCTGTGTGAGTCTATGGGTATATGTGTGAGTCTACGGGTATCTGTGTAAAGTCTATGGGTCTCTGTGAGTCTATGGGACTCCGTATGAGTCTACAGGTCTCTGTGTGAGTCTACGGGTCTCTGTGTGAGTCTACTTGAAGATATTACTTCACAACCGTGTCACCACCACCACCACCACCCCCTTTCCCCCCTCTTTGCAGCCGTCTCGTGGATGGAGAAAGTGCAGGGGGAGACGGTGGTGCTGGGCTGCACCTGGACGGGCGACCCCACGGACACCGAGGTCCTGGACGTGGAGTGGTTCCTGCAGATGCCCACTACGAACATCTACGTGAGGAAGAGAGAGGGATACAGAGACGCACATCGCTACTCAGAGATGCCTGTAGCTTCTACTCAGAGACGCCCGTAGCTCCTACTCAGAGACGCCCGTAGCTCCTACTCAGAGACGCCTGTAGCTCCTACTCAGAGACGCCCGTAGCTCCTACTCAGAGACGCCTGTAGCTCCTGCTCAGAGACGCCCGTAGCTCCTACTCAGAGACGCCCGTAGCTGCTACTCAGAGACGCCCGTAGCTCCTACTCAGAGACGCCTGTAGCTCCTACACAGAGACGCCCATAGCTCCTACTCAGAGACGCCTGTAGCTCCTACTCAGAGACGCCTGTAGCTCCTACTCAGAGACGCCCGTAGCTCCTACTCAGAGACGCCCGTAGCTCCTACTCAGAGACGCCCTTAGCTCCTACTCAGAGACGCCTGTAGCTCGTACTCAGAGATGCCTGTAGCTCCTACTCAAAGACGCCTGTAGCTCCTACTCAGAGACGCCCGTAGCTCCTACGCAGAGACTCCCTTGGGCTCCTATTCAGAGACGCCCGTAGCTCCTACTCAGAGACCCCCGTAGCTCCTACTCAGAGACGCCCATCGGACACGCAGAGACGCCTGTAGCTCCTACTCAGAGACTCCCTTGGGCTCCTACTCAGAGACGCCCGTAGCTCCTACGTAGAAGTCCGCAGGCTCCTACACAGGCACCAGCAGGCTCCTACACAGGCACCAGCAGGCTCCTACACAGGCACCAGCAGGCTCCTACACAGACACCAGTAGGCTCCTACACAGACACCAGCAGGCTCCTACACAGACACCAGCAGGCTCCTACACAGACACCAGCAGGCTCCTACACACACACCAGCAGGCTCCTACACAGACACCAGCAGGCTCCTACACAGGCACCAACAGGCTCCTACACACGCACCAGCAGGCTCCTACACAGACACCAACAGGCTCCTACACAGGCACCAACAGGCTCCTACACAGGCACCAGCAGGCTCCTACACAGGCACCAGCAGGCTCCTACACACACACCAGCAGGCTCCTACACAGACACCAGCAGGCTCCTACACAGGCACCAACAGGCTCCTACACAGGCACCAGCAGGCTCCTACACAGGCACCAGCAGGCTCCTACACACACACCAGCAGGCTCCTACACAGGCACCAGCAGGCTCCTACACACACACCAGCAGGCTCCTACACAGACACCAGCAGGCTCCTACACAGGCACCAACAGGCTCCTACACACACACCAGCAGGATCCTACACAGACACCAGCAGGCTCCTACACAGACACCAGCAGGCTCCTACACACACACCAGCAGGCTCCTACACAGGCACCAGCAGGCTCCTACACAGACACCAGCAGGCTCCTACACAGGCGCCCGTAGGATCCTACACAGAAGCCGCCCCCACAGGCTCCTACACAGGCACCAGCAGGCTCCTACACAGAAGCCGCCCCCACAGGCTCCTACACAGAAGCCGCCCCCACAGGCTCCTACACAGAAGCCGCCCCCACAGGCTCCTACACAGAAGCCGCCCTCACAGGCTCGTACAGAATCAGAATTCACCTTCTTGGTTCTTTCGGTAAAGTCACCGCCACATAGACTGGAAATAAAATAATGAAATAAAATAATAATAATGCGATTCTCACGACGTTTCGGCCACAACACAAGTGGGCCTTCTTCAGGTGAAGAAACAGGGCTATCAAGAAGACGGAACTTGAATGAACGCTGTCAGGCAAGGACCGCGTCTTTTGAAGCTGTGTGGGCGAAGTTGAATTAGCATGTTACCAGCCTCACCTCCGGAGAGGGAGGTGGGATGGTAACATGCTAATTCAACTCTGCCCACACATATTCTTAGCTCTTTCGGTAAAGTCACGTTGAAGGGCAACAATAAAATAATAAAATATATTAAAATAATAAAATATATAAAACAATAAAAAATATTGTTGTTTTATATATATTTTATTATTTTATTGTTTCCCTTCAACGTGACTTTACCGAAAGAGCTAACAATATGAATCACTGCAGTCATGAAAGCTTTAAATCAAAATTCCGTCCACACAGCTTCAAAAGACGTGGTCCTTGCTTAACAGCGTTCATTCAAGCTCCGTCTTCTTGATAGCCCTGTTTCTTCACCTGAAGAAGGCCACTTGTGTTGTGGCCGAAACATCGTGAGAATTGCATTATTACTTGACTTCATTATTTTATTTCCAGTCTACGTGGCGGTGACTTTACCGAAAGAACCAAGAATGTGAATCCCTGCAGTCACGAAAGCTTTAAATCGAAACAGAATCGGAATATGTATATACACTGCAGGAGGAATCCGATGAGCTGTAAAGCTCTTTGTTCACAGATGGGGTGGGTCAGAACGTTCCAACAACAAACGGCTACAAGAACACGTGTCAGGAGTGCAACGTATAGGAAAACAAATCAATTGAACAGTATAAAAATAAATGTAAATTTAAACCTGGTAAAGCCCACTGAACTATAGGGTCTTATTCTTGGTTCTTTCGGTAAAGTCACCGCCACGTAGAAGGGAAACAATAAAATAATAAAAATATAAAACAATAAAATTCTCACGACGTTTCAACTGCAACACAAGAAGCAATCATCGTCAGGTGTGAAAACCACAGCAAGAACAATTTGAATAAAAATGGCGGGTTTTTTTTAACGTCAGCACCACGGAGAGCGATTTGGAAGTTTGTTCAGATGGACGAGTCCATCTATGTTCGGAAAAGAGGAGGGGGGAGACGAAAATAATGGATGCGGTCTGAAAGTCACCGTAAGCGTGAACAATCAATCAAGACCCGAAATGGTTTAGCAAATCCTTCCAACGATTGCTAAGCCCAGAATCCATCTCCTCGGTTGAAATTGTCTCCGTGTTTGTATATGCGGATAGCCTCATGAACGAATCTCTCTTGGTAGCCGTAATCGTGAACAATCAATTAAGACCCCAAATGGTTTATCAAATCCTTCCAACGATTGCTAAGCCCAGAATCCATCTCCTCGGTTGAAATTGTCTCCGTGTTTGTACGTGCGGATAGCCTCATGAACGAAACTCTCTTGGTAACCGTAAGCGTGAACAATCAATTAAGACCCGAAATGGTTTATCAAATCCTTCCAACGATTGCTAAGCCCAGAATCCATCTTCTCGGTTGAAATTGTCTCCGTGTTTGTATATGCGGATAGCCTCATGAACGAATCTCTCTTGGTAACCGTAAGCGTGAACAATCAATTAAGACCCCAAATGGTTTATCAAATCCTTCCAACGATTGCTAAGCCCAGAATCCATCTCCTCGGTTGAAATTGTCTCCGTGTTTGTACGTGCGGATAGCCTCATGAACGAATCTCTCTTGGTAACCGTAAGGGTGAACAAGCAATTAAGACCCCAAATGGTTGATCAAATCCTTCCAATGATTGCTAAGCCCAGAATCCATCTCCTCGGTTGAAATTGTCTCCGTGTTTGTACGTGCGGATAGCCTCATGAACGAATCTCTCTTGGTAACCGTAAGCGTGAACAATCAATTAAGACCCCAAATGGTTTGTCAAATCCTTCCAACGATTGCTAAGCCCAGAATCCATCTCCTCGGTTGAAATTGTCTCCGTGTTTGTACGTGCGGATAGCCTCATGAACGAATCTCTCTTGGTAACCGTAAGGGTGAACAAGCAATTAAGACCCCAAATGGTTTATCAAATCCTTCCAATGATTGCTAAGCCCAGAATCCATCTCCTCGGTTGAAATTGTCTCCGTGTTTGTACGTGCGGATAGCCTCATGAACGAATCTCTCTTGGTAACCGTAAGCGTGAACAATCAATTAAGACCCCAAATGGTTTGTCAAATCCTTCCGACGATTGCTAAGCCCAGAATCCATCTCCTCGGTTGAAATTGTCTCCGTGTAGGTACGTGCGGATAGCCTCACGGCGGCGGCGGTGGCGATGGCGGAGCCCTTTTTGTCCGTCTCCCACCCCCCTGCCCTCAGGTTGCCACGTTCGCCGGGGGCGAGGGGCACATCTACCCGGACTTCGCGTCCCGCGTGCGATTCGCCCGCAACGCGACGCGGAGGGACGCGTCGCTGCAGATCGCCGGGCTGCGGGCGAGCGACGCCGGCGTCTACACGTGCAAGGTGAAGTTCGGCACTTTCATCAAGCTGGAGACCATCAGGCTCACCGTGCTGGGTAACGAACGCACGCACGCGCACACGCACGTACGCACACGCAGGTACGCACTTACACACACGTACACGCACGCACACACACGTACACACACGCATGCACGTACACACACGTATACGCACGCACACGCACGTACACACATGCACGCACACGCACGCACACGCACGTACACACGTACACGCACGCACACGCACGTACACACACGCACGCACACGCACGCACGCACGTACACACGTACACGCACACGCACGTACACGCACGCACGCGCACATGCACGCACGCACACGCACGTACACACACGTACACGCACGCACGTACACACACGCACGCACACACACGCACGTACATGCACACACGCACGTACAACAACAACAACCGCCATTCGCCACTAAGTGGCGGTGACGTCACCACGACGCTTGTGCCAGGCTATGTGCACCCTGAGGCCACGTGAAGTGTCGAACGCCCGCTGGCAGGAGGTCACGGGGCAGACCCAGGTGCCACGGGTCGACTGACTGTGGCAACCTGCTGTGCTTTAGCCACCCGGCGCTCCGCTCGTTGTTGTGAGCGTCGCTCCTCCGCCCTCCGTTGTTGTTGGAGGGTGACTGCCTCCAACTGCCCAGTAGCGTCCTTCACGAGCCTCCTCCACAGAGGCCGATCTTGACACCGCTGGTACCAGTCATCGGCAAGTCCACTCAGCTCCACGTCCTCCTGTACCACATCACTCCATCTCTTCTCTAGCCCGTGCCGTGCCCGCGTAGCCCCCTCAATCCGGCCAAACAAAAGCTGTTTCGGCATGCGGTGGCTGGGCATGCGGGCTACATGACCCAGCCATCGCAGCCTTCCCCGCCGGAGGAGCTCACCGATGGGACCTTGCCCAGATCTTTCAAGGATTTGTGAGCTTCTCACACAATCCATTCTGGTTAAACCCAGGATGGATCGTAGGCAGGCCAGCATAAATGTTTCTAACCGGCGAAGATGTTCCATTAGGGGGGTCCACGTTTCGCAAGCGTAGAGAAGGGAGGGAATGACCGTGGCCGAGAAGACCTGAAGCTTAGTGCGGAGCGACAGACCAGGTAGCTTCCACACAGCGTTACGCAACCGATGAAAAGATATTGCCGCTCGACTGATTCGGAGTGAGACCTCTGCTGTTAAACTGGAGCCAGTCATAAGCACACTGCCCAGGTATGGGAAACTCTCCACTCTCTCCACAACTGCCCCATCACCGATTGGGAGTTTTGGGGGCGGAGTGTCCGATGGTACAAAATACCCAGGCAGGTGCTTAGTTTTGGTGGGGCTGATGGTAAGGCCCCACCTCTTAGTGGCACGCTCCAGTCTCAGCAGCAGCGTTTCCAACTCCTCCTCTGAATGAGCAGTTATTACCAAATCATCAGCATACATAACATGGTTGAGCAATAGGGAGCCATCCCTTGACCGCACCCGGGCGTCGATCAGCCTCCCATTATATCTGTACCATATGGAGATTCCCCCGGTACAGCTATTGAAGGCTTCACGAACTACGTGGTCAAAGTAGATGTTAAATAATGTGGGAGCCAGAGGACATCCCTGTCACACCCCAAGGTTAACAGGGAATGGCTCTGACTCCCGGCCACGTAGTTTTACCCGGGCCCGCTCACCATCATGAAGGTCCTTAATGATCGTGAGCAGAGGGTCAGGTACTCCAAAAGCACGAAGAACAACCCAGAGCCCAGGCCTACTGATGGTATCATAGGCCTTGACCAGGTCAATAAAGCAGAGATGTAGGTCTTGTTGGAATTCCCTACACCTCTGCTGTAGCAGACGGACAGAAAATATGGCATCTGTGCAGGACCGCCCTTTCCTGAAACCGCATTGGGGCTCCGCAAGCCTCTCCTCAGCATGCCTGGCAAGGCGATGTTGAATAATCCTTGCCAGGACCTTTCCCGGCACACTGAGGAGTGAGATGCCCCTGTAGTTGTTACAGTCTGTGCGGTCCCCCTTCTTAAAAAGGGGGACCACCAGGGCATCCTTCCAATCCTGCGGAACCCATCCAGTGGTCCAGACTGTTGTTATGATGTCATATAGGGCAGTCTGTGCACAAACGCCGCCCTCCCTCAGCATTTCGCTTGGGAGATCATCTCTGCCCGCTGCCTTTTCTGGTCTCAGACTCCGGATCGCCTTCAGTACTTCCTCAACATATGGCACCTCAGCCAGCCACTCACAGGGGGTGACTTCTTCCAATATTTGAGGCACCGCAGCCTCAGCAGGGTCATCCTCACTTTGTGCCACGATGTTTTCCTGGCTGAGGGATTTTCCCTCCCCCAGGACCTCACAGAAATGCTCAGAAAACCTGCAAACCTGTTTCTGGGGGTCGGAGATTGGGTCACCGTTTTTTCCCCTAATGATGGTAATAGGTGTGGCGCTGCAAATTACTTTTTTGATGGAGTTAAATAGAGATTTGTGATCACGGGCCACTGAGGCAGACTCAATCTCCTCAGCAACCCGCGACTACCACCCATCCTTGCAGCGCCTCACGGCTCTCCGAACCTCCGAGCGAAGGCTGCGGTAAGCCTCCACATTCTCTGACGTGGGATTCTGTAGCCGATGACAGTGGGCCTGTCGCTTTTTCTCAACCATCCTGAACACCTCCTCTGTCAGCCAGGGTCTATGGGGAGGTCTGGACCGCGTACCCAAAGCAGCCATTGCAGCTGCATGAGTCACAGTCCTAAACCTCGCCCATTTACCCTCGACATCAGGAGGAGTGGAGGACGATGCCAATCCCAGCCGCAAGCGATGATGAAATTCTCGCTTGCAACTTTCATCAGATAACTGAGACCAGGCCACTTTAGGTTGGAATGGGGTCCTGGGTATACACCCACCACCGGAGTGGAAGAATGGCAGGCACATCTTACAGATGACTAGTCGATGGTCAGAGGGCAGATCAGCTCCACGGTAGGTCCTGGTGTCAAGGACATGGGCTCGCATCCGCTGGTCCGTCACTATGTAGTCCAGCAGATGTTCTTGCTTGGACCCGGCATGCATCCATGATGTTGTGTGGATGCGCCTATGCCGGAACAGCGTGTTGGTAATTACAAGCCCATGGGCTGCACAAAAATCTAGCAGCCTCCTACCGTTGTTATTGAGCTGATCTGGCCCATGCCCTCCAATCACTCCAGACCAGGTGCCAGTATCATGACCAACTCGGGCATTGAAGTCACCCAACATGTTAACTCTATCCCGAGGGGCCACTTTAGCCAGCACCTGTGACAGGAGGTCATAGAAGGCATCTGACTCATCGGCTTTGCCTGCATCCCTCCACGGATGTTCATCTTTGGTGGGGGCATAAGTAACAACGACCACCATTCCTCGCCTCCGGTTGATGGGAAGGCGAGCCCAAAGTAGCCTGCGACTTACAGCTTCTCACACCTCACCGCTACGCTCCCACGCCCCCTCATTCTTTTGTTCAAAAGAAGAGCCACACCCTGTTGTTTGGCAGTCTGCTGCCCCGAGTAGAGGACGGTCCACCCCTCATGGTGGCAGGAGCCAGAGCCGGTCCACCGGACCTCCTGAATGCCACACAGATCCAGGCGGTACCGTTCCAGCTCCCGACAGAGGAGTGGCAGCCTCTCCTCCGCAGTGAGCGTTCGAACATTCCACGTGGCCACCCGTAGTGGCTTTTCGTTGTTTCTGGAGGAGCCCCGAGGGTAGATATTCAATCTCCTGGCTCCGCCAATTGGGGTTTGGCCAGGAGACGTCATAGACGCCTGGTCCTCCGGGGCCTCCGGCACAAGCTTATTAGTTACATATTTCAGTTTAACTCGTGGTTTAGTGGTAATTAATTGAAGGTGGAGGGGTTACCAGCCCCTCGCACCCGTACACACACGTACACACACGCACGTACACACACACACGTACACGCGCGCACACGCACGTACACGCACGTGCACGCACGCACACACATGCACGTACACGCATGTACACGCACGCACATGCACGCACGCACACGCACGTACACACACGTACACACATGCACGTACACACACGCACACACGCACGTACACGCACGTACACGCACTTGCACGCACGTACGCACGTACACGCACACATGTAGACATACGTGCACGCACGCACACACACGTGTGCGTGCGTGTACGTGTGGGTCTCTGTGGGTCTGGGTGTCTGTGGGTGTCTACGAGTGTACGTGTGCACGTTGAACTTGTTTCGCGCCGTAAAGTAGCCAACCGTGCTGTGGGTCTCTGTGGGTGTCTCTGTGTCTGTGGGTCTCTGTTGGTCTCTGTGGGTCTCTGTGTCTGCGGGTCTCTGTGGGTCTCTGTGAGTCTCTGTGAGTGTCTCTGTGTCTGTGGGTCTCTGTGGGTCTCTGTGGGTCTCTGTGTCTGCGGGTCTCTGTGGGTCTCTGTGGGTCTCTGTGTCTGCGGGTCTCTGTGGGTCTCTGTGGGTCTCTGTGGGTCTCTGTGGGTCTCTGTGAGTGTCTCTGTGAGTCTCTGTGGGTCTCTGTGGGTCTCTGTGGGTCTCTGTGGGTGTCTCTGTGTCTGTGGGTCTCTGTGAGTGTCTCTGTGTCTGCGGGTCTCTGTGGGTCTCTGTGAGTCTCTGTGGGTCTCTGTGGGTCTTTGTGGGTGTCTCTGTGTCTGCGAGTCTCTATGGGTCTCTGTGGGTCTCTGTGGGTCTCTGTGGGTTTCTCTGTGTCTGTGGGTCTCTGTGGGTCTCTGTGGGTGTCTCTGTGTCTGCGGGTGTCTGTGGGTCTCTGTGGGTCTCTGTGGGTCTCTGTGAGTGTCTCTGTGTCTGCGGGTCTCTGTGAGTCTCTGTGGGTCTCTCTGGGTCTCTGTGTCTGTGGGTGTCTGGGTCTCTGTGAGTGTCTCTGTGTCTGCGGGTCTCTGTGGGTCTGGGTGTCTGTGGGTCTCTGTGGGTCTCTGTGGGTCTGGGTGTCTGTGGGTCTCTGTGGGTCTCTATGGGTGTCTCTGTGTCTACACGTCTGTGTGGTTCTCTGTGAGTCTCTGTGGGTCTCTGCGGGTCTCTGTGGGTCTCTGTGGGTGTCTCTGTGTCTGCGGGTCTCTGTGGGTCTCTGTGAGTCTCTGTGTCTGCGGGTCTCTGTGGGTCTGGGCGTCTGTGGGTCTCTGTGGGTCTCTGGGTGTCTCTGGGTCTCTGTGGGTCTCTGTGGGTCTGGGTGTCTGTGGGTCTCTGTGGGTCTCTGTGGGTCTCTGTGTCTGCGGGTCTCTGTGTCTCTGTGAGTCTCTGTGGGTCTCTGTGTCTGCGGGTCTCTGTGGGTCTCTGTTGGTCTGGGTGTCTGTGGGTCTCTGTGGGTGTCTCTGTGTCTGTGGGTCTCTGTGGGTCTGGGTGTCTGTGGGTCTCTGCAGGTCTCTGTGGGTGTCTCTGTGTCTGCGGGTCTCTGGGTCTTTGTGGGTGTCTGTGGGTCTCTGTGAGTCTCTGTGAGTGTCTCTGTGTCTGTGGGTCTCTGTGAGTCTCTGTGAGTGTCTCTGTGTCTGCGGGTCTCTGTGGGTCTCTGTGGATCTCTGTGTCTGTGGGTCTCTGGGTCTCTGTGAGTGTCTCTGTGTCTGCGGGTCTCTGTGGGTCTGGGTGTCTGTGGGTCTCTGTGGGTCTCTGTGGGTCTGGGTGTCTGTGGGTCTCTGTGCGTCTCTATGGGTGTCTCTGTGTCTGCACGTCTCTGTGGGTCTCTGTGAGTCTCTGTGGGTGTCTCTGTGTCTGCGGGTCTCTGTGGGTCTCTGTGAGTCTCTGTGTCTGCGGGTCTCTGTGGGTCTGGGCGTCTGTGGGTCTCTGTGGGTCTCTGTGGGTCTGGGTGTCTGTGGGTCTCTGTGGGTCTCTGTGGGTCTCTGTGTCTGCGGGTCTCTGGGTCTCTGTGAGTCTCTGTGGGTCTCTGTGGGTGTCTCTGTGTCTGCAGGTCTCTGTGGGTCTCTGTGGGTCTGGGTGTCTGTGGGTCTCTGTGGGTGTCTCTGTGTCTGTGGGTCTCTGTGGGTCTGGGTGTCTGTGGGTCTCTGCAGGTCTCTGTGGGTGTCTCTGTGTCTGCGGGTCTCTGGGTCTTTGTGGGTGTCTGTGGGTCTCTGTGAGTCTCTGTGAGTGTCTCTGTGTCTGTGGGTCTCTGTGAGTCTCTGTGAGTGTCTCTGTGTCTGCGGGTCTCTGTGGGTCTCTGTGGATCTCTGTGTCTGTGGGTCTCTGGGTCTCTGTGAGTGTCTCTGTGTCTGCGGGTCTCTGTGGGTCTCTGTGGGTCTCTGTGGGTCTCTGTGAGTGTCTCTGTGTCTGCGGGTCTCTGTGAGTCTCTGTGGGTCTCTCTGGGTCTCTGTGTCTGTGGGTCTCTGGGTCTCTGTGAGTCTCTCTGTGTCTGCGGGTCTCTGTGGGTCTGGGTGTCTGTGGGTCTCTGTGGGTCTCTGTGGGTCTGGGTGTCTGTGGGTCTCTGTGCGTCTCTATGGGTGTCTCTGTGTCTGCACGTCTCTGTGGGTCTCTGTGAGTCTCTGTGGGTGTCTCTGTGTCTGCGGGTCTCTGTGGGTCTCTGTGAGTCTCTGTGTCTGCGGGTCTCTGTGGGTCTGGGCGTCTGTGGGTCTCTGTGGGTCTCTGTGGGTCTGGGTGTCTGTGGGTCTCTGTGGGTCTCTGTGGGTCTCTGTGTCTGCGGGTCTCTGGGTCTCTGTGAGTCTCTGTGGGTCTCTGTGGGTGTCTCTGTGTCTGCGGGTCTCTGTGGGTCTCTGTGGGTCTGGGTGTCTGTGGGTCTCTGTGGGTGTCTCTGTGTCTGTGGGTCTCTGTGGGTCTGGGTGTCTGTGGGTCTCTGCAGGTCTCTGTGGGTGTCTCTGTGTCTGCGGGTCTCTGGGTCTCTGTGGGTGTCTGTGTGTCTGCGGGTCTCTGGGTCTCTGTGGGTGTCTCTGTGTCTGCAGGTCTCTGTGGGTCTCTGTGGGTCTCTGTGGGTCTCTGTGAGTGTCTCTGTGTCTGCGGGTCTCTGTGAGTCTCTGTGGGTCTCTCTGGGTCTCTGTGTCTGTGAGTCTCTGGGTCTCTGTGAGTCTCTCTGTGTCTGCGGGTCTCTGTGGGTCTCTGTGAGTCTCTGTGTCTGCGTGTCTCTGTGGGTCTGGGCGTCTGTGGGTCTCTGTGGGTCTCTGGGTGTCTGTGGGTCTCTGTGGTTCTCTGTGGGTCTGGTTGTCTGTGGGTCTCTGTGGGTCTCTGTGGGTCTCTGTGGGTCTGGTTGTCTGTGGGTCTCTGTGGGTCTCTGTGGGTCTCTGTGGGTCTGGTTGTCTGCGGGTCTCTGTGGGTCTGGGCGTCTGTGGGTCTCTGTGGGTCTCTGGGTGTCTGTGGGTCTCTGTGGGTCTGGGTGTCTGTGGGTCTCTGTGGGTCTCTGTGGGTCTCTGTGTCTGCGGGTCTCTGGGTCTCTGTGAGTCTCTGTGGGTCTCTGTGTCTGCGGGTCTCTGTAGGTCTCTGTTGGTCTGGGTGTCTGTGGGTCTCTGTGGGTGTCTCTGTGTCTGTGGGTCTCTGTGGGTCTGGGTGTCTGTGGGTCTCTGTGGGTGTCTCTGTGTCTGTGGGTCTCTGTGGGTCTGGGTGTCTGTGGGTCTCTGCAGGTCTCTGTGGGTGTCTCTGTGTCTGCGGGTCTCTGGGTCTTTGTGGGTGTCTGTGGGTCTCTGTGAGTCTCTGTGAGTGTCTCTGTGTCTGTGGGTCTCTGTGAGTCTCTGTGAGTGTCTCTGTGTCTGCGGGTCTCTGTGGGTCTCTGTGGATCTCTGTGTCTGTGGGTCTCTGGGTCTCTGTGAGTGTCTCTGTGTCTGCGGGTCTCTGTGGGTCTGGGTGTCTGTGGGTCTCTGTGGGTCTCTGTGGGTCTGGGTGTCTGTGGGTCTCTGTGCGTCTCTATGGGTGTCTCTGTGTCTGCACGTCTCTGTGGGTCTCTGTGAGTCTCTGTGGGTGTCTCTGTGTCTGCGGGTCTCTGTGGGTCTCTGTGAGTCTCTGTGTCTGCGGGTCTCTGTGGGTCTGGGCGTCTGTGGGTCTCTGTGGGTCTCTGTGGGTCTGGGTGTCTGTGGGTCTCTGTGGGTCTCTGTGGGTCTCTGTGTCTGCGGGTCTCTGGGTCTCTGTGAGTCTCTGTGGGTCTCTGTGGGTGTCTCTGTGTCTGCGGGTCTCTGTGGGTCTCTGTGGGTCTGGGTGTCTGTGGGTCTCTGTGGGTGTCTCTGTGTCTGTGGGTCTCTGTGGGTCTGGGTGTCTGTGGGTCTCTGCAGGTCTCTGTGGGTGTCTCTGTGTCTGCGGGTCTCTGGGTCTCTGTGGGTGTCTGTGTGTCTGCAGGTCTCTGGGTCTCTGTGGGTGTCTCTGTGTCTGCAGGTCTCTGTGGGTCTCTGTGGGTCTCTGTGAGTGTCTCTGTGTCTGCGGGTCTCTGTGAGTCTCTGTGGGTCTCTCTGGGTCTCTGTGTCTGTGGGTCTCTGGGTCTCTGTGAGTCTCTCTGTGTCTGCGGGTCTCTGTGGGTCTCTGTGAGTCTCTGTGTCTGCGGGTCTCTGTGGGTCTGGGCGTCTGTGGGTCTCTGTGGGTCTCTGGGTGTCTGTGGGTCTCTGTGGTTCTCTGTGGGTCTGGTTGTCTGTGGGTCTCTGTGGGTCTCTGTGGGTCTCTGTGTCTGCGGGTCTCTGTGGGTCTGGGCGTCTGTGGGTCTCTGTGGGTCTCTGGGTGTCTGTGGGTCTCTGTGGGTCTGGGTGTCTGTGGGTCTCTGTGGGTCTCTGTGGGTCTCTGTGTCTGCGGGTCTCTGGGTCTCTGTGAGTCTCTGTGGGTCTCTGTGTCTGCGGGTCTCTGTGGGTCTCTGTTGGTCTGGGTGTCTGTGGGTCTCTGTGGGTGTCTCTGTGTCTGTGGGTCTCTGTGGGTCTGGGTGTCTGTGGGTCTCTGCAGGTCTCTGTGGGTGTCTCTGTGTCTGCGGGTCTCTGGGTCTTTGTGGGTGTCTGTGGGTCTCTGTGAGTCTCTGTGAGTGTCTCTGTGTCTGTGGGTCTCTGTGAGTCTCTGTGAGTGTCTCTGTGTCTGCGGGTCTCTGTGGGTCTCTGTGGGTCTCTGTGGGTCTCTGTGTCTGTGGGTCTCTGGGTCTCTGTGAGTGTCTCTGTGTCTGCGGGTCTCTGTGGGTCTGGGTGTCTGTGGGTCTCTGTGGGTCTCTGTGGGTCTGGGTGTCTGTGGGTCTCTGTGGGTCTCTATGGGTGTCTCTGTGTCTGCACGTCTCTGTGGGTCTCTGTGAGTCTCTGTGGGTGTCTCTGTGTCTGCGGGTCTCTGTGGGTCTCTGTGAGTCTTTGTGTCTGCGGGTCTCTGTGGGTCTGGGCGTCTGTGGGTCTCTGTGGGTCTCTGTGGGTCTGGGTGTCTGTGGGTCTCTGTGGGTCTCTGTGGGTCTGGGTGTCTGTGGGTCTCTGTGGGTCTCTGTGGGTCTCTGTGTCTGCGGGTCTCTGGGTCTCTGTGAGTCTCTGTGGGTCTCTGTGGGTGTCTCTGTGTCTGCGGGTCTCTGTGGGTCTCTGTGGGTCTGGGTGTCTGTGGGTCTCTGTGGGTGTCTCTGTGTCTGTGGGTCTCTGTGGGTCTGGGTGTCTGTGGGTCTCTGTGAGTCTCTGTGAGTGTCTCTGTGTCTCTGTGTCTGTGGGTCTTTGTGAGTCTCTGTGAGTGTCTCTGTGTCTGCGGGTCTCTGTGGGTCTCTGTGAGTCTCTGTGGGTCTCTGTGGGTCTCTGTGGGTGTCTCTGTGGGTCTCTGTGAGTGTCTCTGTGTCTGTGGGTCTCTGTGGGTGTCTGTGGGTCTCTGTGAGTCTCTGTGGGTCTCTGTGAGTGTCTCTGTGGGTCTCTGTGGGTGTCTCTGTGTCTGCGGCTCTCTGTGGGTGCCCGTGGGTGTCTGGGTGCCCGTGGGTGTCTACGAGTGTTACGTGCGCACGTTGATCTTGTTTCGTCACGTGGCCACAGGCGCCAAACGGAGCGCAACAGAGAGGACTTGGGCCTGTTGTGAGCCCTTTCTCCTGCTGCCCCACCCCCACCCCCCACTGTCCCACCTGGCACAGTGAAGCCGTCCCAGCCCAGCTGCGTGGTGAACGGTTCGCTGCAGCAGGGCGAGGAGCTGTCGCTGCAGTGCCTGTCCACGGAGGGGACGTCGCCCATCAGATATCGGTGGAGCAAGGCCGGCGGGGAGGAGGGTCCCTCACCGTCCGTGCTGGGTGGGTGGCACCTCAGACGGCGCGAGGAACGTGACGAGGACGATGACGACGATGACGACGATGACGACGATGATGACTATGATGATGATGATGAGACCCACAGACTCAACACACATAGAGACCCATAGACTCACCACACAGAGACCCATAGACTCACCACACAGAGAGTCCCACAGACTCACCACACAGAGACCCATAGACTCACCACACACAGAGACCCATAGCCTCACCACACACAGAGACCCACAGACTCACCACACACAGAGACTCATAGACTCACCACACACAGAGACCCATAGACTCACCACACACAGAGACCCATAGACTCACCACACACAGAGACCCATAGACTCACCACACACAGAGACCCATAGACTCACCACACACAGAGACCCATAGTCTCACCACACACAGAGACCCATAGACTCACCACACACAGAGACCCATAGCCTCACCACACACAGAGACTCATAGAATCATCACACAGAGACTCATAGACTCATCACCACACAGAGACTCATAGACTCAGCACACACAGATACTCATAGACTCACCACACAGAGACCCATAGACTCACCACACAGAGACCCATAGACTCACCACACAGAGCCCCATAGACTCACCACACAGAGACCCATAGACTCACCACACAGAGACCCACAGACTCACCACACACAGAGACCCACAGACTCACCACACAGAGACCCATAGACTCACCACACAGAGACCCATAGACTCATCACACAGAGACCCATAGACTCACCACACACAGAGACCCATAGACTCACCACACAGAGACCCACAGACTCACCACACAGAGACCCACAGACTCACCACACAGAGACCCACAGACTCACCACACACAGAGACCCATAGACTCACCACACACAGAGACCCATAAACTCACCACACACAGAGACCCATAGACTCACCACACAGAGACCCATAGACTCACCACACAGAGACCCATAGACTCACCACACAGAGACCCATAGACTCACCACACAGAGACCCACAGACTCACCACACAGAGACCCACAGACTCACCACACACAGAGACCCATAGACTCACCACACAGAGACCCATAGACTCACCACACAGAGACCCACAGACTCACCACACAGTGACCCATAGAATCATCACACAGAGACCCACAGACTCACCACACAGAGACCCATAGACTCACCACACACAGAGACCCACAGACTCACCACACACAGAGACTCATAGACTCACCACACACAGAGACCCATAGACTCACCACACACAGAGACCCATAGACTCACCACACAGAGACCCATAGACTCACCACACAGAGACCCATAGACTCACCACACAGAGACCCACAGACTCACCACACAGAGACCCACAGACTCACCACACACAGAGACCCATAGACTCACCACACAGAGACCCATAGACTACTCACACAGAGACCCATAGACTCATCACACAGAGACCCATAGACTCACCACACAGAGACCCATAGACTACTCACACAGAGACCCATAGACTCACTCACACAGAGACCCATAGACTCACTCACACAGAGACCCATAGACTCACCACACACAGAGACCCACAGACTCACCACACACAGAGACTCATAGACTCACCACACACAGAGACCCATAGACTCACCACACACAGAGACCCATAGACTCACCACACACAGAGACCCATAGACTCACCACACACAGAGACCCATAGACTCACCACACACAGAGACCCATAGTCTCACCACACACAGAGACCCATAGACTCACCACACACAGAGACCCATAGACTCACCACACACAGAGACTCATAGAATCAGCACACAGAGACTCATAGACTCATCACCACACAGAGACTCATAGACTCAGCACACACAGATACTCATAGACTCACCACACAGAGACCCATAGACTCACCACACAGAGACCCATAGACTCACCACACAGAGCCCCATAGACTCACCACACAGAGACCCATAGACTCACCACACAGAGACCCACAGACTCACCACACACAGAGACCCACAGACTCACCACACAGAGACCCATAGACTCACCACACAGAGACCCATAGACTCATCACACAGAGACCCATAGACTCACCACACACAGAGACCCATAGACTCACCACACAGAGACCCACAGACTCACCACACAGAGACCCACAGACTCACCACACAGAGACCCACAGACTCACCACACACAGAGACCCATAGACTCACCACACACAGAGACCCATAAACTCACCACACACAGAGACCCATAGACTCACCACACAGAGACCCATAGACTCACCACACAGAGACCCATAGACTCACCACACAGAGACCCATAGACTCACCACACAGAGACCCACAGACTCACCACACAGAGACCCACAGACTCACCACACACAGAGACCCATAGACTCACCACACAGAGACCCATAGACTCACCACACAGAGACCCACAGACTCACCACACAGTGACCCATAGAATCATCACACAGAGACCCACAGACTCACCACACAGAGACCCACAGACTCACCACACACAGAGACCCATAGACTCACAAAGAGACCCACAGACTCACCACACAGAGACCCACAGACTCACCACACACAGAGACCCACAGACTCACTCACACAGAGACCCACAGACTCACCACACACAGAGACCCACAGACTCACCACACAGAGACCCACAGACTCACCACACACAGAGACCCGTAGACTCACCACACAGAGACCCATAGACTCACCACACAGAGACCCACAGACTCACCACACAGAGACCCATAGACTCATCACACACAGAGACCAACAGACTCACCACACACAGAGACCCACAGACTCACCACACAGACACCCACAGACTCACCACACAGAGACTCATAGACTCACCACACAGAGACCCACAGACTCACCACACAGAGACTCACAAACTCACCACACACAGAGACCCACAGACTCACCACACAGAGACCCACAGACTCACCACACACAGAGACCCACAGACTCACCACACAGAGACCCACAGACTCACCACACAGAGACCCACAGACTCACTACACAGAGCCCACAGACTCACCACACACAGAGACCCACAGACTCATCACACAGAGACCCACAGACTCACCACACAGAGACCCACAGACTCACCACACAGAGACCCACAGACTCACCACACAGAGACCCATAGACTCACCACACACAGAGACCCACAGACTCACCACACACAGACCCACAGACTCACCACACACAGAGACCCACAGACTCACCACACAGAGACCCACAGACTCACCACACAGAGACCCACAGACTCACCACACAGAGACCCATAGACTCACCACACACAGAGACCCATAGACTCACCACACAGAGACCCACAGACTCACCACACAGACCCACAGACTCTCCACACACAGAGACCCATAGACTCACAAAGAGACCCACAGACTCACCACACAGAGAGTCCCACAGACTCACCACACAGAGACCCATAGACTCACCACACACAGAGACCCATAGACTCACCACACACAGAGACCCACAGACTCACCACACACAGAGACTCATAGACTCACCACACACAGAGACCCATAGACTCACCACACACAGAGACCCATAGACTCACCACACACAGAGACCCATAGACTCACCACACACAGAGACCCATAGACTCACCACACACAGAGACCCATAGACTCACCACACACAGAGACCCATAGACTCACCACACACAGAGACCCATAGTCTCACCACACACAGAGACCCATAGACTTACCACACACAGAGACCCATAGACTCACCACACACAGAGACCCACAGACTCACCACACACAGAGACCCATAGACTCACCACACACAGAGACCCACAGACTCACCACACACAGAGACCCATAGACTCACCACACACAGAGACCCATAGACTCACCACACACAGAGACCCATAGACTCACCACACACAGAGACCCATAGACTCACCACACACAGAGACCCATAGACTCACCACACACAGAGACCCATAGTCTCACCACACACAGAGACCCATAGACTTACCACACACAGAGACCCATAGACTCACCACACACAGAGACCCACAGACTCACCACACACAGAGACCCATAGACTCACCACACACAGAGACCCACAGACTCACCACACACAGAGACTCATAGACTCACCACACACAGAGACCCATAGACTCACCACACACAGAGACCCATAGACTCACCACACACAGAGACCCATAGACTCACCACACACAGAGACCCATAGACTCACCACACACAGAGACCCATAGACTCACCACACACAGAGACCCATAGACTCACCACACACAGAGACCCATAGTCTCACCACACACAGAGACCCATAGTCTCACCACACACAGAGACCCATAGACTTACCACACACAGAGACCCATAGACTCACCACACACAGAGACTCATAGAATCAGCACACAGAGACTCATAGACTCATCACCACACAGAGACTCATAGACTCAGCACACACAGATACTCATAGACTCACCACACAGAGACCCATAGACTCACCACACAGAGACCCATAGACTCACCACACAGAGCCCCATAGACTCACCACACAGAGACCCACAGACTCACCACACAGAGACCCATAGACTCACCACACAGAGACCCACAGACTCACCACACACAGAGACCCACAGACTCACCACACAGAGACCCATAGACTCACCACACAGAGACCCATAGACTCATCACACAGAGACCCATAGACTCACCACACACAGAGACCCATAGACTCACCACACAGAGACCCACAGACTCACCACACAGAGACCCACCACACAGAGACCCACAGACTCACCACACACAGAGACCCATAGACTCACCACACACAGAGACCCATAAACTCACCACACACAGAGACCCATAGACTCACCACACAGAGACCCATAGACTCACCACACAGAGACCCATAGACTCACCACACAGAGACCCATAGACTCACCACACAGAGACCCACAGACTCACCACA